CCATTAAATGTTAACCTTCTTTAATTCATTCAACAAATATAGACTGAGCACCTATCAGTGGCCATTGTTCTAGGAATTAGAGAGAGAATAAGGTGCCCTTCGATAGTCTTTTCCACATAAGGGCAGTCCTCTCTTCAAGAGAAATCTAAGTAGCAAGTAGATTCACAAACTAACTCCTGTACCAGTCAGAATGTGTCATACATCAGCAGAAGCATAAATGAAGAAAGTGCCCCTCCATCTCAATTACAGAATTTCATATACCCATTTTTTTTAAGGAGAGAGCATTTGAATAAGAAGAAGAAAGCATAATCTCACCTGCAAAGACTGAAATTTAATATTTTACTTACAGAGGAAGAAAAGGGATCGAAGACTATCCCTTTTAAGGTTCCTTATTAATCATTTAAACCTTATGGAAAAATAATTAAATGACTTCAAAAATGCATTAATATATGATTTTCAAGAGATGACTACAGGTATATATTTTTAAAATGCATTTTTAATTAATGTCAATATATATTAGTGTATCATTTCCCAAAGCATACCATGTGATTTTATTAGATATTATTCAGATAAGTGTTCTGTGGTTCTATGCATTGCTATAGGACTTTTCAGAGCTTTTAAAAGGGTAACAGGAATTGAGGGTTCTCAAGAGAAAGGGAATCACACAGCGTTTCCCTGCTCATGTAACCACAGAACTCTCATGGGACTAACGCATAATGGATCATGGTATGAGAATTTATGTATTGGAGTTGAGAAACCTATAATCTAAACAGGAAGACTACTAGAACAGATATCCATATTATGAATAGTTCTGCATTTTAAAACACTGATTGTAAACAGTGGGCAAGCTTCAAAGAGTGGTTTATATAAGAAAATCCTTTAAAATAAGATTTCTTAATGTGACCATAATACAGCATGATGTCTTTATTTCCATTTTGACTAGCATAATGTAGGAGCAAGTGGGGGAAGTATGAGTCAAAAAAGAGTGGGGGAAGAAAAAAATCATTTTATTTTTAAAAAGTTATTTCTTAGCTACACCAAGAAATTTCCATTGAAATGAACTCCCTCTCTACATGGTATGCAATGTTTCCCAGAAGCTTTAATCATAGTATTCTAAATGATTAAATATCATAAATAGTAAGAATTTATAGAAATAAAGATAATGATCAAGGCTTTGGGAAAATTTTGGAAAAACTACTGCAAGGAAATACACAATGATGTAGCATCAGTTCCTACAGAAGCAAGAATAAAATAAACAGGGGCAAAAGTGTTTTTGCAAAAACTACTTTTTTCTCCCTTAAGCAAGAAACTACTCTATTCCAACATCCAGCACTGTAAAGCAGTCTCAGTTGTTTAATTGAAATGTATACTCACTCACTAACCCACACTGTTAAGCCTGTTATGCTGGCAGTAATTGTCCATATTCACAGGGAGAACCTGGTAAACACTTTAGTATCATCAAATTAGAATGATTACAAGTTTTCATAAGTGACGATACATATCTGTGAGGGCTGTCATCACCTCCTGAGTGAGACCCCATGCATTATGGCTACATGACATGGGGATGCTGGTGACAAGAGCATTATTGAACTTACTAAGCATGCACAGGTTATAGGGCCATGTACTGAGTGCTCAAAAGTTCATGATGAACATCAGAGTCCCTATCTTCTGAAATTATCATTTGCAAAAAGCATTTATTATCACACAGAAGTGGGACTCTGACTGTGATCCAAGTCAGGGATCAAACATTAACTTGCTATTAATTCAGTGTGGTAGGATAGAAGAATATGGAATATTCTTTCCTAACACACATGGAAGTGTACCAAATAAAAAGAAGCCATTGAAAGACCCTAAAATGAACATTAGAGACAAAAATTTTAATAGTCAAATGTCAGCACCACAAAATTACAGAGACTGAATTAGCTTATGCTGAAAACAATTTTCTAGTCATATTTGAGAAAAAATATTCATAGTCCCTACTTGCTAAATTTTGAGTATAATTCATGGCAACACAATGATTTTTCCTTATTAAGTATAAAAATGATGCTACAGAACCTTTAGTCAAAAATTATCCTTGATAGTAATGAAAGGTTTTTAAAGATGCAACTTCTCTCTCTTGACCAAAAGTGCACATTTGTGACGTTACTGGCTAGAGTTGAGGATACAATCTGAGTCCACACAGACCAGATCAAAGCTAATTGGACTTTGTGGCAAATGACCTCATGACCTAGACCTCATTAGTCATGATCTAACCAACTGAGCTAGTTGGCCATAGAAAATACATGTTACCACTAGATATTTTGCTTTGTATCATTTCTGCACTTAAATGGGCCCTAAAGGTTTAAAGAACCACCTTACGAATGCTATTTTTCTAAGGTTTTATGAATGAGTAAATTCATTCAACTCATGTTTTACTTATTATGTGAAGGACCCTAAGATAAGCGGTAAAGCAGTTTAAAACTGCACAAGACAATATGCGGAATTTAGAATTGTAATAGGGAAGAAAAGTTGTAAACAAATAACAAAAGTGTATAATTTTACAGCAATAACTAGTGTTTGTTGAGTGCTTATTATTCTTTAGATGGTTCATGAAGCACTTTGATAAACTGAGGTTACAGGTTGAGTAGCCTTTACCCAAAATGCTTGGAAAAAGCAGTGTTTCGAATTTTTTATTTTTTCACATATTGAAATATTTGCATTATACTTACCAGTTGAGCTGAAAATCTAAAATCTGAAATGCATAATGAGCATTTCCCTTGAGCATTATGTTGGTGGTCAAAAAGTTTCAGATTTGGGAGTATTTTGGATTTCGGATTTTCGGCTCAACTGGTACTCCATTTCATACATAACAGACTAATCTCTCCACCTTAGCTTGGACCAGTACAAAATGAGAAATAGATGTGATACGTACTATACAGTTAACTCTCTCAACACCCATTCCAACTGCCCTTTTCCCTTGTCAGATTCTACCACAACAGACATGAACGCTACAAACTCCCATTCTCTGATTCCCCTGCAGGTGACCATTACTACTTGTCACAGACAAAGATGAAACGGCAACTGACAACTGGGTGACCTCTAGCAGTGTCTAGAAAGACATTTATTTTCCCTGACAGCATAAAGGTCGAAGTGGCAGGCGTCTTTTTCATTTGGTATAAATGCCAACAGTAGTTTAAGTTTACGGTGAAGATTCTAAAATCAGGCTCCAGGGGGCCCTGGACATATAAAACAAACAGGTAGAGTGAAAAACATTCCCAGTATGTCTAAAATATGTAAAGAGCTACAGATTTAATAGGGTAACAGAAATTTATTGACTTTATTATGTGCCAGCCACCTAAGTAAATGTAAATAAAACAAAATGCCAAGTTCCCATTGAGGGAGAGTTCTTCCTACTATAGGAAACATAAACAAGCATTCATTAATAGTACAATGCTGAAAGTAAAAGTCAGTGTACAACGTTGCCCTTCATAAGGGAAGGATAAGCTAACTGCAGAGGAGGACAGTAAGAGTCTATGTTACAAAAAAGGGGTGACATGTCTGTCTATAAAGATCACATTAGACTGGGTTTGGGGAGACTGCGAGGAAAGGAGAGAAGACAGAGAATGCTACTTCAGCAGAGAGAAAACGACATGACCAAAAACAGCAGTATGAAAGGAGAATATTTGGGGAAAAATGCACAAAGTGGATTATGCCTAGAAGGTAGAAAATAAGGCTAGGGAGGTAGGGATGGGGAGAATGCCAATGTGGAATGCTAGATTTTATTTTATAGGTAATGGAGGTAGTGTTAAAGACATTAGTGATGTGGGTGGATTCGGTGACCAAATATAGTAAGAAAAGAGAGAAGTCTGAGTCAATGAAAAGCTTTCAGTTTTGCATCATGTATTATGTACCAGGCTCTGTGTTAGGTACTTTAAATATATTTCCTTGTATCTTCACAAAAACTCAATAAGAGTGTGATTATTCTTCTCCCACTTCCACAGAAACAATAACGAAAAGCTCAGATTATTTAAGTACGTTGGTCACAATTATGAAAATGAATACAAGGCTAACTAGAATTCTGGTTTTAGTTATAATAACAACAGATAACAACAATTGAACTCATATGTCCTCCATGCTTCTGGTGTTAAGCGTTATTACAGTGATTAAAAAAACAAAAGAAGTCCTTCTTTCATGGAACTTACAGGTTGACATCATGGAAATAGATGAAATCACCCAAGTAGAGAGTAGATGTCATAAGAATAAAGACAGTAGAGTTTATCATCCTGGGATATGTCAACATTGGTGGGAGGTGGGCAGAAGAGTCAGTGAGAGAACCTGAATTCATTTTAGGTTTACCAAGGATGTCAACAGGTTGCAAATCCAACTTGGAAACAATTCTAGTGACTTACAATAATTCTCAGTTCCTTTTATAATGACATTCTGCATCTCATTCCAAAGTAGCTAAGAAACCCAAATAAAATAAATTTACAAATTTACACTATTGTTGATGCAAAAGAGGTAAGCTGATTTCAGGCGGAGGGCAGGTTTAGATAGGAAAGTAAGATTTACTGAGTATCAGGCAATTTTATGTGGAATATCTTATTTTCAAAATGTTAAAAATATCCCAGATTCCTAACTTACTTGTTTTATATTCATTCACACATACATACACATAAAAATTCACCTTGCATATAAAAACAAATAGCATGGAGTTTAGAAGCTATCATTAAAATATAGATATCACTAACAAGGGATATATACATTTTTTTCTCCACCTAGAAACAACTATTAAAGGGCATAAGACTTTTAATAACTTTAAAAAACCTATGGGGTTAAGTCAAAGGAAAATGAGTGCATATTCTTAATAAATAAAAGCTTTAAAATCAGCTTAATTTCACTAACTGTTCTAGTCGAAAATTACTTTGAAAACAAGGAAACAACTTGGGAATAGTGGGAGGGGTTCAAAAGTACATTATTTTTCTGAGTGGAGGAATTAAAAAGACTTCCACATACAAACTTACATTGCTCCATTGGTATAGACAGTATCGCTTCCTTCCACATACTGCACCTGAGCTGGATAGACATGTTGTACCTGCTGCACAGTCTGTACCTGCTGTACCTGAAAAATAAGTATTAGGGCCTTGGTGAGAGGGAGGTATGATAGGAAGAATACAGAGCATTAGATCTACCTCAAAGGTTTCTCTGGTGTTATTGATAAATGTGAGAATGACTTATAAGAAAAACTTAGCTTCATTCTATAGTTTCAAGATAAGCATGTGTTGGTTCCAGAGCAAGTACAACATTTGTGCTGAATAAATTCTGTAATATTTCTGCAGGTATAAATGTATAGACAGACACACTTCAACTGTTCAGGTTTAAAATTATGGGTGACCTCTAGCAGTGTTGGCCAGGCATGGTGGCTCATGTCTGTAATGCTATAATCCTAGCACTCTGAGAGGCCAAGGCAGGCAGAATGCCTGAGCTCAGGAGTTTGAGACCAGCCTGGGTAACTCGGAGGAATCCCATCTCTATTAAAACACCAAAAATTACCAGGGCGTGGCAGCATGTGCCTGTAATCCCAGTTACTGGGGGGGCTGAGGCAGGAGAATTGCTTGAACCCGGGAAGCAGATGTTGCAATGAGCCAAGATTACACCACTGCATTGCAGCCTGGGTGACAGAGCAAGACTCCATCTCCAAAGAAAAAGGGAAAGTTCTTATTTTGGTAATTTATGAAAGTTCGATTCCATTTTAATTTAAAAAATTAAAGCTGAATTAGTTTTTAAAATTAGAAACAATTCATAACATAAAATTTCAAACACTCAAATGTGTAAAAAATACTGTAATAACCCTATGTACTTGTCATCCAAGATAAATGATCTTTTCCATTTATCCCCTTCACAAGATCATTTAAAAGTAATTCTAGAAGGCTGGGCGCGGTGGCTCATGCCTGGAATCCACTTTGGGAGGCAGAGGCAGCTGGATCACCTGAGGCCAGGAGTTCAAGAGCAGCCTGGCCAACATGATGAAAGCGCATTTCTACTAAAAATACAAAATTAGCCAGGCATGGTGGCACAAGCCTGCAATCCCAGCTACTTGGGAGGGTGAAGCAGGAGAATTGCTTGAACTCAGGAGGCAGAAGTTGTAGTGAGCCAAGATCACGCCATTGGACTCCAGCATGGGCAACAAGAGCGAAACTCTGTCTCAAAAAAAAAAAAGGAATTCCAGAGATTCTATCATTTCACTGGTAAATATTTTCATTTGTTATCTCTAAGAGATAAGAATTGTTTTTAGCATGAACACAATAATTTCACATATACAACATTAACTATTCCTTAGTATCATCTCAAACTCAGTCATTGTTAAAATTTCCCTGAGTCCAATTATTATATTACTTTTTTTTTCAAATCAAGATTCAAACATGATCTACATAATGCATTTGGGTTGATATTTTCTTTTTCTTTTAATTTCCAACAGTTCCCTCATCCTTTTTGTTTCCTGCCTATTACTTATTCAAGAAACTGGGTCATTTATCTTAGAGAATTTCTGGCATCGAGATTTGGTTAACAGCATTCTGAAATGTCATTTAATTTGTTCCTCTATCTCATGTATGCTGTATAAACTGGTACATACTGAGGCTTGAATGAGTTCAATTTTTTAAAAAGTTGTGTACTTTCTATTGTGCCATCATCAGTTGACATATAACAACTGGCTGTCCCTCTGCAATGTTAAGTTTGACCAAGTGGGGTCATATGTTGTCAGCTGAGTGTATCTGTTAATAGTATCCTGCTCCCTATCCATGTTTCACCTGAGGATATTAGTATGATAACTGCCTACAGATATTACTTTAATAAATAAAGGTGGTAAACTTGCGATAATCTAATTCTATTATTCTTTCTTCATTTATTAGTAAAAATCCTTCCATAAAGAATAAATTAATCTCATTCATTATTTCGTTACTTTCAAATAAAGTTCTTATGGGAAGAATAGGATAAGTACATGATTCCTTTATGTTAAAGTACCGAAAATGACTTTATCCCCCAGTACCCTCCAGAGGTGATCAATGTGGATTTTCGTTTTGTTTCTATCTTTATGATTCTTAGCTTTTGAACATATTTGATGTTTTTCAATCCTGGCAGTCTTTTTTTCTTGCTAAAATAGTCCCATTGTTGGCCAATGGTAGTCTCTTCAAACTGGTTCCTATGACATGACCTGACTATCTTTCTTAACTCTACTACTTTCTGTTATAACAAGATGTTTCAGGCTTATGTCATATTTCTTACACAAGATCTGGAATCAGACATTTCTTCAAAAAAGCCCTGGCTCTTCTTAGTGGAAAATGGTATTCAAAGATTACAACTAAGACTCAACGAAGCTTCCTGCTAGAGTGCTATTTATTTCTAGGTCTTTTCATTGAACAAAGCTAGAAAATACAAATATGTTTTAAGGATAAAAACATATATCACAAATTCATACTAATTTTTTGATTGAATTTAAAATATATACAAATTAAATATATCTTTGATACATTTGCCCGTCTTTGCTCTTATGCTACAAATTTTGGTTACTAGAGATTTTAATGAGTATTTGCTTTATCATAAAATTTTATGGTTTCAAAATAAAAATATATTACTAAATATCCTATTAATAATACTTGATTATCAAATATGTTTCCTTCAATTGTTCTGCTCTTAAAATATATGCCCCTAGAGATGTATAATTATATTACTATAAAGTCACTTAAAATAAGCCATCAGCTTGACACATAGTTAAATTCATGATTTAATTTTCTTTTGAATTTTAGGATTTGCTGTATTCAATTTTGATTTAATTTTGTTCTATAATTACATGAAATATCGGTGTGGTTCCAAAGTTGAAACTATAAAACAAGCAACATATTTGGACAGGTGATCCTGCTTTCATCCCTGTTGCCTCTATCATACTTACTGCCCTCCACAACACACCACAGATAACTATTTTCACTGTTTTTTGGTTTATCCTTTAATTCACCTTTTTAGACATACAAATATGTATGAATGTGTATAGAAGCATCCATGTGTGACAACACACACACCACATTCTAAAAAAAACCACAGCATCTTACACACACTGTTCTGCACCTTGCTTTTAAAACTTAACAATATAGAATAAATCTGAAGATCATTCAACTATGGTACATTATGGCATAAAACAAAAATGAAAATATTTCTTTTTACTTGGAATTGTGAAAAAAGTTTCCTTGCTACAAAATAAGAGAAGCGATAAAAAATACTTTTACATAAAACTGTAAACCTGTTTGTATGGTTAAAAATATAATAAGCAGAAGCAAAGACAAATGAGCAACCAAAATTTTGAGAGAGAAAGATGAATAGTCCTATTAAAAAAAAGTGTAGAAAATCTAGATAACCTTGGGTTTGGTGATGCCGTTTTAGATATAACACCAAAGGTGTAATTCACTGAAGAAAGAATTTACAAGCTGGATTTCATTAAAATGGAAAATTTCTACTTTGAAAGACACCGTGAAGAAAATGAAACAAGCCACAAACTGGGAGAAAATATTCGCAAGACTTATCTGATTAAGGATTGTTATCTAAAACTTATAAAAAGCTCTTAAAACTCAACAATAAGAAGCTGATCTTAAAAAAGGCCAAAGACCTTAATACAGATGAAGAATAAGGATATAAAAACATTCTTCCATCATAAGATACCAAAATATAAAATGCTGAATTAGAATGGCCAAAATCCAGAACACTGATAATACTAAATGCTAACAGGGATGTGAAAAAAATAGAAACTTTCATTCATTGCTGGAAGGAATAGAAAATGGTACAGACACTTAGGAAGGCAGGTTGGTAGTTTCTAACAACACTAAACATAATTTAGTCATATGATCCACTAATCATGTTCCTTGATATTTACCCAAGGAGTTGTAAACCTATGTATTCACAAAAACAGGCATACATGTTTATAACAACTTTATTTACAATTGCCAGAACTTGGAAACAACCAAGATGTGCTTCCGAAGGTAGATGGATGAATAAACTGCACTACACATAGAAACAATGGAATATTATTGTTTCCATTAATGGACTATTATTCGGCGCTGAAAAGAAATGAACTACCAAACCATGAAATGACATGGGGAAAACTTGCATGCATATGACCAAGTGAAAGAACGTAATCTGCAAAGGCTACATACTGCAGGATTTCAACTATCTGACATTCTGGAAAAGACCAAATGATGGAAACAATAAAAAGATCAGTGGCTGCCAAGCACTGGGAGAAAGGAGCAATGAACAGGCAGAGCCCACAGGACTTGTAGAACAGTAAAACTACTCTGTCTGATACTGTAAGGGTGGATACATGTCATCATACATTTGTTCAAAACCATAGAATGTACAACACCAAGAATGAACTCTAATATAAATTTTAGCCTTTGGGTGATAATGACGTGTCAATGTAGGTTCATCAGTTATAACAAATGTACCCGTCTGGTGGGGAATGTTGATAATGAAAGAAGCTATTCACGTGTGAGGGAAGGAGTCTTATGGAAATCTCTGTACTTTCCTCTCAATTTTGCTGTAATACTAAAGTCGCTTTAGAAAAATGAAGTGTTCTCAAGAAACTAAAAACTTTTTTTTAAAGTGTGTATGCACATATAAATGGAAATATACAAACATATTCTGGTTTAGTTGCAATTAATTTAATATTCTGGTTTAATTGCAATAAATTTAAATGCAAATATTTATAAACTTAAAATGGAGAACCCCCCCTAGAAACATTCAAGAGCAAGATGCCATAAAAGCCAGTCAGATTTGAAGAGCAACAACAACAACAAAACAGTTTAGGACAACTAACACTACAAATAAAGTTCAAAATCTAGACATATTATTTGAATAAACAGTTTGCAGTATATTTAATAAGGTATAGTATCCTATATATATAAATGCCCCCAATAAATCAAAAAAAAAAAAAAAAAGAACTAAAACATAGTAGAACATAGGTGGGTCACAAAATTAAAATTATAGATGAACAATAAATGTAAATGTTAAAAGCTCAACATTAAATGTAATCAGAGAACTTCAAAACTACTTTTTTGAAAGTAGTTTTGGGTAGTCACT